AATACATAAGAAATGGTATGCATTCCGTAGGTTTGACAAACATATCGTGGGATAAGTCTGATCACAGACAAACAAGGCAAAAACTGTTTAATCTCGCCACTCAAGTTCTTCTTTCGTTGATTTCCATATGTCTTATTCGATATCGTACTACTGGGTTTCGAAGTATTGTCGTAGACGTCGCTACAACCGTTGGCCAAGCACGACGTATAAGTCTTACCAGGAGGATGCTCCGTTTTAAACTTGTAGCTGATCTTCCGGCACTGGATGACTTCAACGTACAACTGGTCCCCATCAGCTTTGCTTTCTTTCTTGAGTCCAAGCTGTATCTCGCCAGTGGTTTCATAGTCTCCTGGCACAAATGAACAGGGTCGTGGTCAAAAAGTGACATGTTGACAGTTGAAAACAAGAAAGGTCAAAGCTTTAAAACCTCTGCTAACGTATTTACATTCCGCATTTCCTCGCCAAAGACGGTGCTAATCCCTGGGATGAAAACATGGAAGAAGTGAAAGAAATCTTGAATTTTTTCTCAGAATATTGCATAATACTAGCACTGAAGTGGAATTTAGACTTGATGAAATCAAGGACAGGACAAGGGCTGATCCAGGACAGCTTCGGGGTGGGCCAAAGGCCCGGGCCGTATCCTCCCCCCAAATATTGAAAAATAACGAAGGCAATTTTCTGGTTGATTTTATTTCCTCCAGTCCAAAAGCGTGTTAAAAGCCCCCTCCAGGCTAAAACAGTCACGGAAAAAATCCCACATTTTTGGCCTTCAAAATAAGTCTGGCCCCCCAAAATTTGGTCCCAGATCCACCCTTGGGAAGGGGTGGTATATCAGTTTAATACTACATTATTCGAACGCGCCCAGATGATTGCTAGGTTTAAGACCACATGCTAGCATATTCAAATGAGCATGATTGAAATTAATTTTACTTCATTGTCTCGTGCAGTGTAATACCAAAATTCGCTAACAGGACTGACGAGGATTTGTGTAAGCGAACATCGTTCCCCAATGCATTAAAATCCTCCGCTGGTAAATGCATGCCACGCTAGCCGTCACACTACAGGGCGTCCTAGAAAAAACCAAACCCTGAGGAAAGGGGTTAATATGCCCAAACCATGAGATATGATTA